GTGGAGCCGCACGGCTGGTCGTCGGTTGTCGGGAAGAAGATCTTGCAACGATGCGCCTCAAGTACATTCTCGCATGTTCCATTGTCGCCGGCGTGCTTTTTCTGTCCGTGCTCTCTTCGGCAAAGGAGCTAAACGCCTCCGAGTTTGATAACATCCTCTGGAAGCAACGGAAGTACCTCTTTGTATTCTTCTACTCTGCCAAAAAGTAAGTTTTCCTGTTCAGAGCGTCTTATAAGTCTGCAACTAACAGTTCTATTTCTCTCGCCATTCAGCTGTGAAAATTGCTTTCCACTGCTGCTAACCTGGGTCAAACTGGGCGAGCTCATTGGCTCCTATCCCCATTCCCAACTAGTCATCGGTCATGTGAACTGTGACCGTCTTCCCGAGCTGTGCGCCCGAGAAGAGATCTTCACCACCAGTGTTGCCAGGGAAGAGGAAGAAGATGGAGGCGTCAATGGCGATGAAGAAGACCCCGAGCAGCAGCATCATCAGCTGCATCCAATGCGTCGTCCCGTTATGAAGCTGTACCTGAAGCGAGACGAGGAGCTGATGAGGATCTACATCAAGCACCTCCTTCAGCTGAACTCACTAGATGACGAGGACGAGGACGGAGAGCAGACGGAGATCACCTACGAGGAGGAGAACATCGACATGCTCAATCTGGAGCTCTTTCTCCGCCGGCGCCTGCCGAAAGAGGCCATTGAAGGGCCGGCGGCGGGAAGCTCTTTCTTCAGGGGAAGAGACGATGAGGCGGATGAAGATGCTAGTGGAGGTGATGGTGGTGGAAGTGGCGGTAGAGGCGGTGGTGGCGGCGGTGATCCCTTTGCTACTGACCCCGATGCTGAAGAGCCGTCGGAAGAGGCTGCTGCCCCTGACGATGTAACTTCTAGTCCAAACTACGTGCTCAAGGGCTTTGCCGATCTAACCGACGACGACTTTGCCCGCTTTCTCGCTCAAGGCAAGTCTGACACTGATGATGGCATTCTGTTTCGCATCTCCCTAACCAAATATCATATCTTCTCTCAGGCGACAATCNAGGAGGAGAACATCGACATGCTCAATCTGGAGCTCTTTCTCCGCCGGCGCCTGCCGAAAGAGGCCATTGAAGGGCCGGCGGCGGGAAGCTCTTTCTTCAGGGGAAGAGACGATGAGGCGGATGAAGATGCTAGTGGAGGTGATGGTGGTGGAAGTGGCGGTAGAGGCGGTGGTGGCGGCGGTGATCCCTTTGCTACTGACCCCGATGCTGAAGAGCCGTCGGAAGAGGCTGCTGCCCCTGACGATGTAACTTCTAGTCCAAACTATGTGCTCAAGGGTTTCGCCGATCTAACCGACGACGATTTTGCCCGCTTTCTCGCTCAAGGCAAGTCTGACACTGATGATGGCATTCTGTTTCGCATCTCCCTAACCAAATATCATATCTTCTCTCAGGCGACAATCTAGTCTACTTTTACACGCCCACCTGTGAGCTGTGCCAACGCCTGGAGGAAAAGTGGCCGACGATCATTCGCTTGGTGAAGTCGATGCGCTCGATGCGTCTGGCTCGGGTGGACTGCGCCAGTGAGGCAGTCGCCTGCAAGTACCTGGAGGTGAAGGACTACCCGACGGTGATGTGGATCAGCGACGGCTACCTCCGCCGAAAGACGAAGAACCTCGACGGACTTAGCCTCAACGCCTTCCTCTTCCTCCTCAAGTCGCTGCTGGAGGAGATTGAGCAGCTGCAGCAACGAGAGCTGCGGCTAAAGAAGTTCTCCGAAGCGGTCATAAAGAGCTCAATCTCCGCCCTCTTGGAAGAAGGTGAGACGCTGGAGCTGGGCAGCGAGGATTTTTACTCGACGATCAAGGGCGATGAGGAGGAGGCGGAGGAGGACAGCGACAGTGTCGGCGGCCTCTTCTTCGTCCACTTTACCGCTCCCTGGAGTAGGCACTGTCGTCAGATGGTCGACGACTGGCACCGCCTACAGAAGAAGATTGCTCAGAACCGGCAGCTGCGCTCGGCGGTGAAGCTGGCCCGGGTCGACTGCTCGGAAAATGAGCGCCTCTGCAATGCTGAACAGGTAAGTGAGAGAGAGAGAGAGGAGTTCTTTTCGACTAACCACCAACACCTTTTTTTAACTGCCTAGATCGACGGCTACCCGACGCTCATTCTCTACCGGAAGGGCGGCAAACGCCTGGGCGAGTACGAAGGCGGTCGTAAAACGGACTCCTTTCTCGCCTACCTCAGCCATCATCTCTTTCATATAGAGGACAGCTCTGACAGCCCCGACAGCAGCAGCAGCAGCCCCGAAAGCGTCACCGACACCGACGACGGTCTTGGCAGTCATCCCCATCACCAGACGGATGAACTTTGAAGCAGCAGCAGCAGCAGCAGCATTCAGCCTATATTCCAGCACCTCATTGTGATTCCTTTCTTTTGATACGCTCGTGGCCACAATTCTGTATTATTCTCTAATCAATTCTTTTCTAGTTCAACAATAAACAAGTCCTCATTCTTTTGGTGCCCACACATTTGTTTGGCGACTAAAGTCTGTCCGTCTAGTCTAGTTCGTTATTGTTATTATTCTTATTTGCGGTAAACTTGGTACATTTAAAAAACAGAAAATCGTAAGTAAAATCGCCGCTTTCGCATTCATCATCGGAATCATCATCAGCAAAAAGTGTCACTAGTTTCTCAAAGTCAAAGCAAAGGAAAATCAAATCAGCGAAGAAGGAAAAAGAAGAGGAATCGTCGCGAAAAAAACGTGTCGAATAAATGAGAAAAGTGGTGTGTGTGTGTGTGTCTGATACGCATCCTCCCCTGGGCGATTGAGGGGTGTAAAAAGGTGTGTGATGAGGTATGGCAAGACTGAGAAGGTGTGTGTGTGTGGTGAGACTGAAAATGACTTGTTTGGTGAGGAGGAGGAGAGCGGTCACCAAATAGTAAAAATCCATCCTTCGTTTTGAAAAGAAATCGTGAAGAAGGTATACGAAGTAGGTGGTCGTGGTGTGGTGCATTAGGAGTGAGAAATGTAGTTCTGGTAATGGTAGTAGGGTAAGTGGTGCGCCAGTGGCCGAAAAATGCAATTTGCAATGCTGTAGTTTTCAAGCAAGTCAGTCGATTCCGTCTCTCTGCTCAGAAGAGACCCTTCTTCTTCTTCTCCTTAATCTTTCCGTCCAGGTTCATACTGTGAAAAGGGAGAAAAAGACAAGTTCATTAGTAAAGGTTAGAAGAAAGGCGCCGGCGTGTTTCGAAAAACAGTCCACTCAAGTCATCAAAACTGTAAACTCCACACTGTCCAAAAGCGGGCAAAAACATCATTAACTTTTTAAAACAAAGTTATTTAACACAGTAATTCTTTACGGTAGAAAGAACGAAAACACAAACAAACAAACACTGTGGGGAAATGACTGGGGGTAAAGGAACATCGTAGTTGTGGTAATACTTCAATGCACTGTCTGGTAGTGTGTGTGTGNCAGTAATTCTTTACGGTAGAAAGAACGAAAACACAAACAAACAAACACTGTGGGGAAATGACTGGGGGTAAAGGAACATCGTAGTTGTGGTAATACTTCAATGCACTGTCTGGTAGTGTATGTGTGTGAGTGCGTGGATGTGTGTAATGAAGAGAGGTAATGAGATAAAATAATAATAAAAATCTTGATGACAAATAGTGGATACATCTGAAAGCTGTCAGTGAAGATGTTATGAAAATTATGTATCGGAAAGAAAATGTGTGTGAAAAGTGTGTAGAGAAATGGGGGTGGAAAGGCAAGGCAGAAAAAAAGTGAATGATAAAGATGTGCTCAAGACTTTCGCGAAAAGAAACCGCCCTTTTTGCCAAACAATTTCGTGGCAGACAGTTTGTTGCCACCACCACCACTTCCGCCACCACCAGAGATGCCGTGAATGTCAGGCGAGGAGCTGGCGTAGAAGGCGTGACCGCCATTTGCCGAGAGTGAAGGCAGATTCCTAGGAGGAGGTAGGAGGGATGCACCAAAGAAAGAGAGGGGAGAAAGAAAAATAGGCAATGGATGCTCTAGTAAGAAGGAAGAGTGCACAAGAAAGTGGAGAAAATAACAAAACAAAACGACAAAACAATGTAGAATTGACACAGAAAAGGGACACAAAGACAAGACAAGGGAAACATTGAAAGTGTTAGATTTAGAAGTTGGAAGAGGTTAGTTTGAAAACAGAAAGACAGAAAAAGCACTGCGCAAGCATTAGTAGGGTTAGTGCTGTTTCAACTGTTTGAAAACTTTGTTTGGCCAAAAGCAATTTCCGGTTACTCTCATCAGACAGAACACTTTTTGGACGTTTCTTTCAATGGGCATAAATCAACGAACACACACACGTACACAGCATTTACATGTAAAGCAAAGGGTGCTGTACTTACTCTCGCATGTTGACGTCCAGTGTGTTGACTCGTCGAATCTCCTCCATGTCCTTGCTGACCAGTTCGAAAGCTGCCTTCTCCTTCTCAAAGTGGGCCCTCTTCTCCTCCAGCTCGTGTCGCTGCTGCTCCAGCTTCTTGGTCATCTCCTCGTGTCTTCTTGTGTACTGGAAATAAAAACAGACATTAGCTTTCAGACATGATAGTAATAGCGGTGACGTGACAAACCTCCTCTTCTGATTCCCTCAGCTTTTGCAGCTTCTCCTTGACCTTCTGCTCAAAGACCTGCTCCATCTCCTTCTCCATCTTCTTCATCTTCACGTCGTGGTCTTTCTTCTCCTCTTCCATCTGTGCGAGTGGGTTCCTGTGGTGGTGAAAAGAGAAAAGAGGGTGTTGTTTTAGTAAGCTATAAAATAGTTAGGCCAGTTAGCTAAAGTAGAACTGAAATGAAGGGGAATCGAGCAAAGGACTCTAGAAACGACAAAACATGACCCACCACACTTACCAGAACACCATTGAGGTGGTGTTCTTGGGCGAGTGATGGCTGCCATTTTTAGAATCACNAAGACCTGCTCCATCTCCTTCTCCATCTTCTTCATCTTCACGTCGTGGTCTTTCTTCTCCTCTTCCATCTGTGCGAGTGGGTTCCTGTGGTGGTGGAAAGAGAAAAGAGGGTGTTGTTTTAGTAAGTTATAAAATAGTTAGGCCATCTAAATTAGAACTGAAATGAAGGGGAATCGGGCAAAGGACTCTAGAAACGACGAAACATGACCCACCACACTTACCAGAACACCATTGAGGTGGTGTTCTTGGGCGAGTGATGGCTGCCATTTTTAGAATCACAGTAATGAAGTGGGGAAAAGGAGAAGAAAGGGAGAATGGGAGATGCAGGAGAGAAGGGCGGAAGGATACTTTGAAGAAAGGGGGAAGACATTTCGGGCAAAAACACACACAAACTTAAAACAGGAAGAAAAGAGGAATAAGAAGTAAGCTTACTTGTTGTCTTTGCCCTTCTTCGAGACGTCCGGCGAGATGCCTGTCAGCTTTCGACAGCGGTAGTTCTCGTAGTGCACATTGTTGGTCGTCTCCAGCAGGTCGAGCATGTAGTGGCGAATGAGCAGATTTCGCAGCGCCTGAAAGTCGCAGTGATCCATATTCTCAACTGAAAAAACAAACAGAGTTATTAGAATTGGACAACAAATAACCTCAACTGTCAACTTACTCTCCACCACTCCCCACGGGTACTTCCTTCCCCGCTTTCGCTCTCCGCCAATCTCCAGTACGTAGTTGCTGCCGACGACGGCAAAGGGCACCCGGCTCTTCATTGACTTCAACACCTTGCCGTCCTCCTCCTCGTCGCAGTCCGGAAAATCGTACACCTTGATGTTCTGCTTGGCAATCTCGCTCATAATCTAGGGGTGAAAAGATTGATTAAAAAACTTCCACAAAAACCACCACCACCATCACTTACATTTTTCTTAAAGCTGGTCAGCTCCTCCGGGGTGAGCGTGTCCGCCTTGGCAATGACCGGAATGATGTTGACCTTGTCGTGCAGCTTCAGCATGCACTCCACGTCGATCGGCTTCAGGCCGTGACCAGAGGGGGCGATAAAGTAGAGGCAGACGTGGACGCGGTTGTCGGCAATGTGCGTCCGGTGGACGCGCGTCTCAGAGTTGAGGTACTCCTCGTAGCGCGACTCGATGAAGTCGACAATGGGCGCCCAGCAGTCGGTGTTGTTGACCTTGTCGCCGAAGCCGGGCGTGTCCACCACCGTCAGGTGCAGGTTGACCAGCTTCTCCTTGAGGTGGACGCGGGTGGTCTCCACGGCGGTCGTCTTGCTCGCCCGCTTGCTGGGGCCCGGGTACTCCGGCGAGTAGATGTCGGTGAGGAACATGGAGTTGACCAGCGTCGACTTGCCCATGCCCGACTCGCCGACGACCATCAGCGTGAACTCGAAGCCCTTCTTCACCGTCTTCCGGTGAATCTGATTGGGCAGGTAGCTGAAGCCGACAAAGTGCTCCGTGCTGCCGTCCTTGCTCAGCAACGAGGCCTTCGGGCCACCGCCGGCGGTTCCGTTCTCATCGCCGTTTCTTCCGTTGAAGCCCATCAGTGATGACTCGATGCGATCCCGAGAGGTGTAGTCCTTGGTGGAGGAGGATGTGTGCGCTGCGGTTACTCCGTTGGTCAGACCTGAGGTGGGCGAGGCAGAGTCACGGTAGTAGTATTCACGTTTGGAGTTGAGCTGAGGTGGAGAGAAAGTGGAGAAAGAAAGGGAAAAGAAAAAGGTTAGTCATGGCTAAACAAATAGCTGTTCCAGCCACCAAGCGCAATACTTTTCCAGTAATATTCAACACTCCCTTGTGGCCCTTCATCTTCATCACAGGCTTTTTGCTAATCTAATCACAGAGAAGAGGTATCGAATGCTGCTGCTGCTGCTGTCCGTCCAGTAACGTGACACACACACAGACAGTCTGAGAAAAACGAGCGAGGGAATCAAATGGACAGTGCGCGTCGGCAATCAAATCACCAATGACAGTGTTTTGCGCTAGTGTCCAGTGACGCGCGCTCACAGACAGACAAAAACAACAATATTTCCAGTGCCTGCCACGCCAAATCGAGCGTAAGTGTGTGCTGTGTGCAGAAAAAAACACAGCATAAATCTCCAAAGACCAAAAGCAAACAAAACACACAGAGAGGATAAAAACGATAGAGGCGACAGCAGCAGCAGAAACAGCATCAGCCGAAAGAACACTCAAAAGCTGACAGCGAAAAAGCTGCGTGCTCAGAGTGCAAACGGAAAGACCACCACAACTGACTTGGCCAGCCAGTCACATTCAAACGGTCACCCCACAACACTGAGCACTTACGACATCCTTGTCCGTGGCAGCACTACTGCCACCACCACCACCAGCAGCAGCACCACTCTCCACACCACTGTCCCCTCCCTTGTTGTTTGGGGTACGATGCGAGGATGAGGAGGGTGAGGACGCGGGACTTTCATAAATTTTGCTTCTGGCGGCCAGTCGCTCCACACCGGCGTAGCGGTACCCGGAGACGCCGTAGGTGGGCGTCGTCGGTGTCATCGAGTGCTGCTGCTGTTGCGAGGGCGTCTGCGAGGGCGTCTGGTCGACAAAGTGGTAGTGCTGCACTGCGCCGCCAGATCGGGTAGAGGTCGTCGGGCTGGAGGAGGGGGCCAGCGAGGTGGAGCTGCCCGAGTGCGAGACTCCGTTGACGACCACCGGCGCAGGAGAGGCAGAGGAGAGGAGAAACTGCTCGCGGAGTGCGGCATTGCGAGAGGGCGTCAGCGGGACGGCGATGGAAGGCGACACGGCGTGGAGATTGCTGCTCGAGTGGTAGTGAGACGGCGGCTGCTTCTGGTAGTACTGACTAGTGCTGAGGGAGGCCGTCGGACTGAAGATGGTGCTCGGTCGGGCGGGAGGGTACTGTCTCATCTCCTCCACTATCACCTCCTCCGCTCCTTCTGCCCACCGACCCGCAGAGGAAGAGGAGGAAGAAGGGGTCTGTTTAGAGTTCTGCTGCTGCTCTCGACTGACGGTAATAGTGGTCGGCTGAATGGTGGCCCGTGGCACCGGGCCAAGACTGGCCATGGCACTCTTGCTGGGAAAGGTGGCCACCGCCGTCGCCGTGACGCCCTTGCCGATGCAGCTGTTGTACTCCCAACCGGCGACTAGCGACTGAAAGTTTCCACCGCCAGTGTTTGAACTTCCGCCGCTGCTGCTGTTGTTGATTTCCTTTGACCGAGTGGCAGCAGCTGCAGCTGAAGTAGTGGTAGAGTGCTTGGACGTGCTCATCCTTGGTCAGTGGGTGATGCTGCTTTTAGTTGAGTTCAGTGCAGATGAATAGAAATGAGAGTGCAGTGCAGTGATGATGATGATGACAAATGAAGATGAATGGTAGAGGTGGTGGTGGCGGTGGCTGAAAACGAAAAACACCAACACCACTGACACCACTTGCACTGGCTATTGAAGAGGCAGACGAGACAGCAAAGTTCTGCCAGATGTCACACACAGTCTTCAAGAGGACGTAATAAACAAAAATGTGTGCTCAAAAATGACTCCAGCAGGACAGCTGCTGCTAGCGAGTCAGTTAATGTCACAGATGTGAGATGAGATGGACACCACCGCCGCCAGAAGGGGAGAGAGAGAAACGTGCGGTGGCCAGAAGGAGAAGAAACAAGAAAGAAAAACAAAGCCAGACAAACTGGCCGTCGTCGCGCGCGCGCGAACGACAGACGTCTTGGCGACCGCGGACGACACTGGCGACGGCGATCTTCCCGCAAAGTTAAACTTCTTCAGACGTCTGGCTCTGAAAACAGCTCTTCAGACTGGGACTGCTTTAACTGACAGATNGTCTTGGCGACTGCGGACGACACTGGCGGCGGCGATCTTCCCACAAAGTTAAACTTCTTCAGACGTCTGGCTCTGAAGACAGCTCTTCAGACTGGGACTGCTTTTAACTGACAGAGATCGTCGTGTGCCCGATCCCGTTGGTGGTAGACTGGCGAATGGAGAATGGAACTGGTGAGCAGTTCGAAGTGGAAGGAGAAGAAGAAGGAGAGCAAAGTGGTCGTGTGGACCAAGTCGAAGCCTGAAAACGAGGCAAACAGAAAGGGAGAGAAAGGAGACACAGTGTCTCTGTGCCACGGCTACACCAATGTCTGGCAGAAGCTGCAGAAACAGCAGCAGCAACAGCAGAAAGAGATAGCGGAAAGTCAAGCCTCCATTAGACAGCAGCAACAAGAGCAGCAGCAGTAGCAGTCTGTCGTTGGTGGTGATGGCAGTTCGGCGAAATCGACGAAACACACGCAATGTGTTGTGGTGGTTCAAGCGAACGACACCGCCAGGAAGGAAGACGACGTTGCTGCTGCTGCTGCTGAATATTCGAAGAATAATACTTTTGGTGACGAGAAAGAAGAAGGAGGAGGAGGAGGCGGAGAAGGAATGACAGGAACACTGAGGCCTCCTCACAACCCGTCTTCTTCAACTTCGGTGGCCTTCACTATTTGTCACCGACCGACCGACCGACTGATCGACCAATAAATACACACATCAAATAACGAGCAAAGCTGCCACACACACGCCCGAAATGTGACCCAATAAGAGAAGATCTTTCCTCTTCTGGTGGAAATCAACTTCGAAGAAAGGATCGCCTTTAAAGAATGCAACAGTTTCTTTTTTGAGAATGAATGCACCAATTTTCAATGAAGCCTTCTGGTCTGGTTGACTCATTAGAAGAAAAATGGGATTAGAAGATGCAAAACACAAACAGCATAGTTTTCGATGCACAAGAACAAGGCATCATCAATAGACAGATGAAGATGTGAACGAGGCCACCATCAAACACAACACATCACAACACAACTGACAGGAAGCACTAAAAAGGAAAAAAGGTTGAGCACCGGATAAACTCGCTATGACACGCTTGTCAATCTCCCTCCATTTGAACGCCAAACAAAGACTTATTCTCCCAAACTTCTCCTCTGTCAAAGGGCAATTCTCACAATTGGTCCGCTTTGGATACATCAGAGCACACAAACAAACACTGTCCCTGGTTCAATGTTATAATTGGCCGAATCGAGCAGATGGAGAATGGAGAAAAGGGGGACAACTAAACGCACAACCCTGAAACTCATCTAAATACATCAGCGGTCAAATAAACAATCAATGGATGCGCAGCTGAAGGAGAGCAAGACGGATTAAACAGACACTGACAACTTCAAGGCGCACAGATGATGGCCGTCACTAGGGCTGATCAGTGAGGCAATTGGCAACACTGATCGACACACAAAGTGACAAGCTGCTGCTGGCGCTGCAGGCCACAAATGGAAGAAATCGATTATCTCCAATTAGCAGTAATTGCGCCTACGCACACACACATGCCAAACAAATCGAACCGTATGCAAATTATCAGAATGGACAGCACGGGACAATATGTTTGCAGTCTTCTCCCTTCGACCAAATAAACGAGGTTGGCTACTTCCTCCTTCTTCGCTTTCTCTTCGTGGTGACGGTGAAATCAAAAGTAAACAAAATCAGCAGAAGCTACGCGGTTGGTCGGTTGGTTGCGTGCACTCGGTAATGAGCAAGAGGGAGAGGAAAAATATGAATCGCGTAGGCAAAGTGCTCGCTGATGATCGGCGGTGAGTGATTGCCTCCAAACACACCGACAAATGACCGATCTTACGGGCAAGTTTGCAGCAGCCACGNGGTGAAATCAAAAGTAAACAAAATCAGCAGAAGCTACGCGGTTGGTCGGTTGGTTGCGTGCACTCGGTAATGAGCAAGAGGGAGAGGAAAAATATGAATCGCGTAGGCAAAGTGCTCGCTGATGATCGGCGGTGAGTGATTGCCTCCAAACACACCGACAAATGACCGATCTTACGGGCAAGTTTGCAGCAGCCACGGCACAAGTAGCCTTGATTTCTCTCGGCCACACACGATCGGAAGTGTAGTGTCGGGAAAGCACTGTCGGTACAAACACTAATCGGTAATCTAATTACCGCCGTAAAAGAATCACCCACCAAAACACCAACAGCCTTGATTGACACAAACTTGACAGTGAAACAAAAGGCAAGGAAAGAAGACCTGCAGAAAACTACACAAAGTAAAAAACATTTACTTACAGCTGTAGTTTGGGCGCACATTTTAGGTTGTTCCACAGTTGAGTCGAGTGGTGATGGCGGCGGCGGTGGTGGTGGAGGCGGTGGACGATGTGATGAAACATTTGAAGAAGGCGCAATCAGCGATGAATCAAGTTGCAGAGACATGGAAAGAAATGAATTGGGTTAGCAATAGAGAAGAAGAAAAAGAAAGATCAATTGAGAAAGCAGTGCAGTGTAGTAATAAACACAGCCAAGCCGATCAGAGAGCAAAATACTTCTGACTGGTGGTGGTGGCGGTGGCCAGGCTGTGTAAGACAGAGGAGAAAAGAGGGGAAAAGTGCAGCAATCAAATCACAGGTATTTACACACAGAAAGACAGGCAGAAACCAGTAAGCCAAAGACGGCGAGTGACAGGTGAAAAAGGTAAAGAAGCAAAGTGACAGGTCGAGATATAAATAAAAGCAACACTACCACTACCAGTGCGACTAGGAGACCGACGACCACTGCTGACAAACAAGTAAAGTAGTGAGGAAAGTCGCTGCTGCTGCTGCTGTACGACGACGTGCAACAAATCAAATTACACAGCCAGCCAGCCAGCGAGACAGCTGACACCGACAAAAGGAGAACGAGAATGAGAAGAGGATAGCATGGCTTGGCATGGCACACAACACTTTTGATTGAGGAATGACGAGGAGAAGAGGGGGAGGAGGGCTCGCAACTTGCTTACAAATAAATAAAATCTCCGCCGAGAGCAGCAGGAAACGAATGGTGCACGAATGTGTCACCGCAGTGAGCGGCAACAAAAGCTGGTCGGTGCTGTACTGTGTACTGTCCAGCAAACATTGCTGCAATGACTTTTGCACTGGCAGCACAGGAAACCCCCAGTGATATAGGAATACCACTGAAGAAAGGGGGCAAAGTGTATCAAAAGTTAAGCTGGACACTGAGCAACTGAACTGAGTTCTGCCACTGAAAGATACCAATCAGCGGCAGCACCCAACAAATTGCCCATCCGGCAGCAGGAAAAAAAGATCCTGAGGCAAGACGGACAGACAACACAGCGTTTGAGATTGACAGCAGGCTATGGTGCATTAGACGACAAATATGGAAGTTGATTAATTAATTCCAATCAAAGCAAATCAAACTAGTGAAAACTGATAAAACCAAGAGTAAACCATCGAAATCAGGGGAGAGCGATCACGATTGTGCCTCCACCTTGTGCAGTCGATCTCTATCAGCATGCAGAATGAGGACTTTGTGGATACTTTTCAGTGTTTTGAAGCAGTAGTGTTCACTCACCGGCGTAACGACGAGACGAGTATCCGCTGGTAGCAGTGTCAGCAGAACCTGTGCAGAGGCATAGAGGTTTAGAGCAGAGAAGAGAAGAGGGGAAAAAGAAGAGATGGGGTGTGTTCCAGGCAGACAGTAGAGAGATAAAGAGAAATAAAAGAGTCAATCATTAATGACCAATGGTCAACAAAGATAGAAAAATGAGTGGGTGAATCGAAAAGATAGACGCATGCAAGATAAAGTGAGGCTCTCTCCTAATGAGGCTCACTTCCGAGTAAAAGGTGAGAAACTTGAAAGCGGAAAACTCAAGATGAATTGATTTGTTGGCGCGCACATTCTAGAGCTTACATAAAGACGATGACTGACACTAACGGGGTTAAAAATGAATGAACCAAGTGCTAACTAGTTAGGTGGTGAGTTGAACACACTTTATGCAAAGCAAATTTGAGGTAAAGGGTTGAGAAAAGTGAAGAGATAGATTGACAGCTAGTTTGAAAGGGTGGTTAGAGGGAATATGATAATGATGATCAGGTACTGAGTGGGAAGATGAAAACGAGGGAAGAGCTGCTCAACGTACCAATAAAGGACAGATCGATTCAAGAGTAGAAAAAAGGCGTCGGTAGCAAAGCAGTGGTGCACAATCGTCGCCCGAAACAGACTTATAAAATACGATTTTCAAAAATTCAAAATCACCAATTTTAGTAAAACTTGAGCAAACTTGAGAGCCTGGACAACAGCAGAGCTCTTCTGACGGCTACACAAAAGGCAAAGTATAAATAAAGTGGTAGAATATAAACTGAAGAGGCATCACTTGAGCAGCA